AGTCTGACGCCTTATCCATTAGGCCACATGGTCGATTAATGATGTTCTCAAAATTCAAAAATCGGAACAGAACCATTGTGGTTACTACCATCTATTATGACGTTTTTGCATGTAAAAATGACTGGGAAACCCGGACTAGAACATACCATTAGCAGAAAAGGCAGGCTGTAACCATGTAGGACTCGACTCTGAAATCGAAGTCAGACGCCTTATCCATTAGGCCACATGGTCGATTGATGGTCTTCTCAAAAAAAAATCGAACAGAACTATTGTGGTTTCATCTATTATGACTTTTTACCACATGTAAAAAAACGACTGGGAACCCAAACGTGAATGTACCATTAGCAGAAAATGCTGACAGTAACCATGAAGGGACTCGACTCTGAATCTTCGGATTCGAAGTCAGACGCCTTATCCATTAGCCCACATGGTCGATTGATGGTCTACTCAAAATTCAAAATCGGAACAGAACCATTGTGGTTTCATCTATTATGACGTTTTTTCCACATGTAAAATGACTGCTGACAGTAACCATGAAGGGACTCGGACTCGGACTGAATCTTCTGATTCGAAGTCTGACGCCCTTTATCCATTAGGCCACATGGTCGATTAATGGTGTTCTCAAAATTCAAAAATCGGAACAGAACCATTGTGGTTTCATCTATTATGACGTTTTTTCCACATGTAAATGCTAGCAGAAAAGGCAGTAACCATGAAGGGACGCGGACTCTGAATCTTTCTGATTCGAGGTCTGACGCCTTATCCATTAGGCCACATGGTGGATTAATGATGTTCTCAAAATTCAAAAATCGGAACAGAACCATTGTGGTTTCATCTATTATGACTTTTTTACCACATGTAAAAATGACTGGGAACCCGGACGAACATACCATTAGAAAAAGGCAACTAAAATTCATAAAGGGACTCTGACCCTCAATCTTCTGATTCAAGTCAGACGCCTTATCCATTAGGCCTCATGGTCGATTGATGGTCTTCTCAAAATTCAAAAATCGGAACAGAACCATTGTGGTTTCATCTATTATGACGTTTTTTACCACATGTAAATTCTGGGAACCCAGATGAGAACATACCATTAGCAGAAAAGGCTGACAGTAACCATGAAGGGACTCGGACTCTGAATCTTCTAATTCGAGTCTGACGCCTTATCCATTAGGCCACATGGTCGATTAATGATGTTCTAAAAATTCTGGGCATCGGAACAGAACCATTGTGGTTTCTGCATCTTTTACCACATGTGAAAAACACTACCACATGTAAATGCAGAAAAGGCAGACTGTAACCATGAAGGGACTTTTGACTCTGAATCTTCTGATTCGAGTCTGACGCATATCCATTAGCCCACATGGTCGATTAATGGTCCTCTCAAAATTCAAAAAATCGGAACAGAACCATTGTGGTTTCATCTATTATGACCTTTTTACCACATGTAAAAAGTCTTTGGATATGCAAACGTGAATGTACCATTAGCAGAAATGCCTGACAGTAACCATGAAGGGACTCGGACTCTGAATCTTCTGATTCGAGGTCTGACGCCTTATCCATTAGGCCACATGGTCGATTGATGGTGTTCTCAAAATTCAAAAATCGGAACAGAACCATTGTGGTTTCATCTATTATGACGCTTTTTACCACATGGAAAAATGACTGGGAACCCAAACGAGAACATACCATTAGCAGAAAAGGCAAGCTGTAACCATGAAGGGACTCGGACTCTGAATCTTCTGATTCGAAGTCAGACGCCTTATCCATTAGGCCACATGGTCGATTGATGGTCTTCTCAAAATTCAAAAATCGGAACAGAACCATTGTGGTTTCATCTATTATGACGTTTTTACCACATGTAAATGCTGACAGTAACCATGAAGGGACTCGGACTCTGAATCTTCTGATTCGAGGTCTGACGCCTTATCCATTAGGCCACATGGTCGATTAATGGTGTTCTCAAAATTCAAAAATCGGAACAGAACTATTGTGGTTTCATCTATTATGACTTTTTTACCACATGTAAAAATGACTGGGAACCCGGACGAGAACATACCATTAGAAGAAAAGGCAAGCTGTAACCATGAAGGGACTCGAACCCTCAATCTTCTGATTCGAAGTCAGACGCCTTATCCATTAGGCCACATGGTCGATTGATGGTCTTCTCAAAATTCAAAAATCGGAACAGAACCATTGTGGTTTCATCTATTATGATTTTTTGGACCACATGTAAAAATGACTGGACTCTGAATCTTCTAATTCGAGTCTGGCGAGGCCACATAATTCGAAATGATGTTCTCAAAATAATCTATTATGCACCACATGAAAAATGACTGGGAACAGAAAACATGAAGGGGACTCGGACTCTGAATCTTCTGATTCGAGGTCTGACGCCTTATCCATTAGGCCACATGGTCGATTGATGGTCTTCTCAAAAATTCAAAAATCGGAACAGAACCATTGTGGTTTCATCTATTATGACGCTTTTTACCACATGTAAAAAGTCTGGGATACCCAAACAACATACCATTAGAAGAAAATGCTGACAGTAACCATGAAGGGACTCGACTCTGAATCTTCTGATTCGAAGTCAGACTTCTTATCCATTAGCCCACATGGCCGATTAATGGTCCTCTCAAAATTCAAAATCGGAACAGAACCATTGTGGTTTCATCTATTATGACGTTTTTACCACATGTAAAAAGTCTTTGGATATGCAAACGTGAATGTACCATTAGCAGAAAAGGCTGACAGTAACCATGAAGGGACTCGGACTCTGAATCTTCTGATTCGAAGTCTGACGCCTTATCCATTAGGCCACATGGTCGATTGATGGTCCTCTCAAAATTCAAAAATCGGAACAGAACCATTGTGGTTTCATCTATTATGACCACATGTAAAAAGTCTTTCCTATGGCGATGAATGTACCATTAGCAGAAAAGGCTGACAGTAACATGAAGGACTCGGACTTTAATCTTCTGATTCGAGGTCTGACGCCTTATCCATTAGGCCACATGGTCGATTAATGGTGTTCTCAAAATTCAAAAATCAGAACAGAACCATTGTGGTTTCATCTATTATGACTTTTTTACCACATGTAAAAATGACTGGGAACCCGGATGAGAACATTTAGCAGATAAGGCAAGCTGTAACCATGAAGGGACTAACCTCAATCTTCTGATTCTGACCATTAGGCCATGGCTTCAATGGTCCATGAAAAATCGGAACAGAATCTTGTGGTTTCATCTATTATGATGTTTTTACCACATCTGAATCCATTAGCAGAAAGGCTGATGTAACGAAGGGACTCTCTGAATCTTCTGATTCGAGGTCTGACGCCTATCCATTAGCCCACATGGTCGATTAATGGTCCTCTCAAAATTCAAAAATCGGAACAGAACCATTGTGGTTTCATCTATTATGACGTTTTTACCACATGTAAAAAAGTCTTTGGATATGCAAACGTGAATGTACCATTAGCAGAAAAGGCTGACAGTAACCATGAAGGGACTCGGACTCTGAATCTTCTAATTCGAGGTCTGACGCCTTATCCATTAGGCCACATGGTCGATTAATGATGTTCTCAAAATTCAAAAATCGGAACAGAACCATTGTGGTTTCATCTATTATGACGTTTTTACCACATGTAAAAATGACTGGGAACCCAAACGAGAACATACCATTAGCAGAAAAGGCAGGCTGTAACCATGAAGGACTCGGACTCTGAATCTTCTGATTCAAGTCGACGCCTTATCCATTAGGCCATGGTCGTATTTGATGGTCTTCTCAAAATTCAAAAATCGGAACAGAACCATTGTGGTTTCATCTATTATGACGTTTTTACCACATGTAAATGCTGACAGTAACCATGAAGGGACTCGGACTCTGAATCTTCTGATTCGAGGTCTGACGCCTTATCCATTAGGCCACATGGTCGATTAATGGTGTTCTCAAAATTCAAAAATCGGAACAGAACTATTGTGGTTTCATCTATTATGACTTTTTTATCACATGTAAAAATGACTGGGAACCCGGACGAGAACATACCATTAGAAGAAAAGGCAAGCTGTAACCATGAAGGGACTCGAACCCACAATCTTCTGATTCGAAGTCAGACGCCTTATCCATTAGGCCACATGGTCGATTAATGGTCCTCTCAAAATTAAAAAATCGGAACAGAACCATTGTGGTTTCATCTATTATGACGTTTTTACCACATGTAAAAAAGTCTTTGGATTTGCAAACGTGAATGTACCATTAGCAGAAAAGGCTGACAGTAACCATGAAGGGACTCGACTCTGAATCCTCTGATTCGAGGTCTGACACCCTTATCCATTAGGCCACATGGTCGATTTATGGTCCTCTCAAAATTCAAAAATCGGAACAGAACCATTGTGGTTTCATCTATTATGACGTTTTACCACATGTAAAAAGTATTTGGATATGCAAACGTGAATGTACCATTAGCAGAAAATGGCTGACAGTAACCATGAAGGGACTCGACTCTGAATCTTCGGATTCGAAGTCAGACTTCTTATCCATTAGCCCACATGGTCGATTAATGGTCCTCTCAAAATTCAAAAATCGGAACAGAACCATTGTGTTTCATCTTATTATGACGCTTTTACCACATGTAAAAAAGTCTGGATATGCAAACGTGAATGTACCATAAGCAGAAAAGGCTGACAGTAACCATGAAGGGACTCGGACTCTGAATCTTCTGAT